CAGGCCTAATGTTCCTGAATGTCTCCTTTGGCTTTACAAGGACCTTCTGTAGGTAAAAGTCCTAGTCTTCAGAAACGAGGAAGTTTGATTACTCTTTTCAGCCATGGCCAAGGGTCACAATTTGAATGAAATTTGATTAGAGTTTGATGGAATCCTCCGAAAGTGGTCCGGTCCATCACCTTACATCACGTTTTATTTAGTTGCATCAATAAGCATCTTTTTACACTCATACTTGCTCGTAATACTGTATTTATTATGACAAAGTCTGATATGTGAGGATCATGTTATAAACCATTTGTGCACATCTGTCATCAAATTTGTTTTCAACAGATGATGGTTTTTCCCTCGAGTAATAATTCTCTCGTTGAGCTGCTGAGCCACAAGCTTCTGATTGGCAGAAGAAAGTTTGAGGCCAACATTGGTTAGGATGGAGGATCACAAAAGATATAAGATTGATAATGCATCGTAAAGTCCAGATAGTCTGAGGACTTTGTTCAGTTATTTGGCCCTCTACCAAGCTTGTAGGGGCTCACCAAATAATTATCTAATACATGGAGTAGCCATAATTTTATGACCACGCTAGTCCATGGTGTTGCCATCTACCACTGTCACTCTATGTCGTCTCAATTGTCTTGGAATCTAATATCATGGCTGATGTTCTATGGTCTATACACTTCCGAGTGGAGTGTAAAGAGGGTTAATCTTCATTTTGTTCACCATTGGACATAACTGAATTAGGATTTCCTTACTCCAGCTGTTTGTTGTCTTGAAATTGTCCTGAGAATTGAATGCTTTAAGTGATGACCAAAGGAGCAGAGTTGCCAATCTCGCTGGATACATATTTGGTGAGGACTCTCGTACTTGTGTGATACATAGGGAATACTTTAGGAGACTTGCATCGGTTATTAGAGTTGCCAATCTCGCTGGATACATATTTGGTGAGGACTCTCGTACTTGTGTGATACATAGGGAATACTTTAGGAGACTTGCATCGGTTATTAGAGTTGCCAATCTCGCTGGATACATATTTGGTGAGGACTCTCGTACTTGTGTGATACATAGGGAATACTTTAGGAGACTTGCATCGGTTAGTTTTACTTCCACATAAGAAGTTAACACAGCTTTTCTCTGGGCGCTCGATTGATCGATCAACGAACACACGTGGCAAATAGATTCCGTACGTCTTTTTATCCATAGAATTCTTGTGTCGTCAACTTTGCGAGTGAAATCGAGCGAATCGATACAACTGACCCCAGTAAACCACGCGCACCTAGAACTTCCTTCTAATCGAATCACGCGTCCAGTCTCACTTAGGCGGATTTCCTCCTCCCCAGCGGATCGGAGGTTCACGTTGAATTCTTACATAAAGGGATACGTGTTGTCCACCACGTTATACCTAGAGACCGTACCATAGCGACCGTTGCTATCAATAGGTAATAGAAGTATGGTGAATGGTAACTGTACCACTTGCAGTACGACGTACAGTCTCCGTACTGCGTCACCTCGCTTAAGTAAACCACGTCAGATCACGCGAGCTACCCATCAGAACATGTGCTTCAATTATCTTCCTTTGCTCACACGTGACTGTTCGTTCTCTTGGTTCGCACCTTCCGTTTCCTTCTTGTTTTATCAATGCGCAGTCATATGGGATACTATTACGGACCGCTGTCTGGTTTTTGGGGGCGAATCATTTAATTCAGCCTACCCCACACAAATATTCGGACGCGCTCAAGGCAAGCTCTTTCTTCGTCCTTTCTTTACATCTTTCATGGCACATTCTCATACGAAGTGCCAGGTGATCCTCGGAGTCAATACGCTGCCATCGTGCAATGGAATTTTGGGTACACGTCTTATACCCTCTGCCCAACATCATCCATCACGAGACAACATCCCGCCGTCCGGACTGATCTCCATGCATTCTAATTGTAGGACCTGCCTTTTCTAATCAACATCCGTGGCCACAAAGTAAGCATATTGTGGTGGTCCATCAAGACAAGGGATTCGGACTTTCATTGAATTCCTTCGGTGGGAACATGCCACGGGGAAACGGGAGATTAGATGCATCAGTATCCCCTTTGGGTGTCGCTGTAAGCACTCATGAATTATTTCCGTCTTTGAGCTAGTTTCAACTAACCCTACCACCACAACTTGACTTGATGGCGAAACGCGTATCATTCGCCCCGGTTAATGCAGCGTACTCACCAATTCCTTCCACTCCTTCCCCAACGTTCTCAACAGCATCTTTAACTTCATTTTCGGACCCACCAACACCGCCTATGCACCCAGGGCCTATGTTCAACCCACGATTTGAGGCCAAGAAGAACCCTGTGCCCAAGCCGCCGCTCGACGAAATGAATATCCACTTCTTCCTTGCTTTCAACCCACTGAAGGGCAGCCTCCCAGCCCTGGACTACGATGTCACCCACCCTCCGACGTTCCTCCTCAACTCTCAGATCACGCTACCCGAAATTCACGAAGCTGCGACAGAACCGCCTCTTCCTGCGCTCTACATCACGTATCCTACCCTCCTTGCACCCATTAGTGTCCTCGCTGGTGATGTCGGCTACGTCACCATCTCTGACGTCTTCCACACTATATATCACGCGTTGCTCCTCCCAACGACAGCGAAGGAATACAAAACTGTTCCTCGGGACTTAGTGCCTGAGGTGAACGCCGCTTACTATGAACGCTGCGAGCGAGGACCGGACACACAAAGGCAGTTGCAGTGGGGTATCAAACGGATTGATTTATTGGGAGGACGACACCGCTTTTTGGGACTTTCGGGAACATCGTATGCAACTGATGTTTGGCAGCTCAACGTTGATTGACCCCTGCACGTCCAAACCCCTTACCACCTACGGCCCTTCACCCCACCATTTCCCTACAAAAACTTCGGAGAGTGAGGTTCAACGCCACTCCATCCACGCTTCTTACGGCACCGAAAACAGATAAAAGCTATATTATGAACTACTTTATCGCCTTTCCAACTATTTCATCCGCTTAGACTATTTCTTTCATTAAGTATATAAATACCTGAGAGACTTGCTCACCGATTCGTACAATGCCTCACATAGAACGTATTACACAACAGTATAAACCAGTACTCGTCATAGACTCTGACAATGTAACAATCAATAGGAGAAATCATACGTGCGACGAAGAGTTTATGCTTTAGCTTTTCAAGCTGTGCCTTTCCACGATAATTGATAGCTTAATGACATTGCCAATGTTTTTGATACCCTTGTGGCGTGATAACGAATTCAGTAGCAGACGCTTTTCAAAGGTATTAATGACGGACATACGCAAAATTAAGATATTGAGCGATTACCTCTTATGGAGGATTTAAGAAACTCGTTGGTCATTATATTGGTAACGATCATGAGATGGATATTTCTGTACAGACATTTCTTCCATTATGATGAAAGCAGAAGTGGCTAGGTCTCTCTACTTGGTGGTAACTAACTAATCTGTTGCAACAAAGTTATTATGAACCAACGACTCATTGAGAAGTACCGAAACCCAAGGGAGACCTGGATCTGATATGTCTAAAACTTTGACAAAGGCTAGAAGAAATATGTGATTGGGATTGATCGGAAGAGAATTTCAATATTACTCCGGAATGTACAGAGGTAGCGGTCACATGAGTTAAGAGGAATGCAGCGTCAACGACAGATATGTCGGCAGTTTGGAAAATGTCTACATGACGACTGCTCTCCGATGACTGAGTGACTCTTTGATATAGAACCAGTTTCAGAGGAGAAATAAGCAGAACATCTAGGGAACTCATTACGCATCAGATATCATGATGGTGTGAGCTATCTGTGCATGCGGGGGGACTATGGACAGAAATGCGGGACCGGTTCATGACAGCGAGCAACACGGAGAATGACAGAACAAAAGAAACACGACGACACACCGCTGACCCCGTCTTCACCAGCATTTGAACCCAACTTAACGATGCGGCAAGATGTAGCGAAGGAAGGAGATATTGGAGTGGTACTAATGGATATCGATGGCGATGAATGAGGGTCGGTGGCGGCTATACGAATCTTGGCCGGGTCGGATTCTAGCGTTGACGATGGGGAAGGCTGGTGTACCATCAGTTGCATTGTTTACATAGGGTACCTGTGGTTCATGTTAGGTTCTTCGTGGAATTGATATACACGATTATCACAGACGCAGCAAAGGACAGCGAGCGGTGAGAATATGAGAATCCGAAAGAAGTCTTTTTTTGGACCAGTACTCATGCCGCCAATCGTTTGGATCGGACTTCGTTGGGATGGAGTGTCTTGGGCATCAAGTTTCTTTCACTAGCTTTTTATATTGTCGCAGAAAAGACAATCGTCGGTTTTGTGCTTGCGGCGACGAGGAACACTTCCCACGGCTGGCCACACATCTCGCATTTCTCTCGATCACTTGAATACTATACCAATGACATTCATGCAAACCCCGAACGATGCGTCTTTATCCACGTCCGTTATTATGTGTTCAACGAGACGAGCGACGTCATATATTGCAAGCTCATCAGATTGCCACGCGATGATGCTAGGATATAGACGCCGCGGATGCATCAGGCAATCATCAATAAGGGGTCGATATTCTAGGATGGGGATGACTAAGTCAGGGGATCGATTCAATTTCACGAGACGGGCGCGGATAGGAACATAGACGAGGGATACCAGAATGAGGAGGGAAAAGACTGAAAGGAAGGGTTTGTATATCAATATGTATGCGTTGAATCGGAGGGTACGACGGAGGTGGCCTTGGGTCGATCAGGCCCTCAGGTTGAATGTGCAATTGTGCAGGCTGGGAGATCGGAGACGGAATAACGGGGATGAATGAAGAGTTGAAACCGAGTATACATTATTACTATTCATCTACTTGAAGATGAGGAACCGTTATCCATCACTGAATCACATCCTTGGTTGATCACAAGGAAGTTCCTCAAATAGGGTATCATCTTGGGACCTGTCAAGACCGCTCAGTTTTAATCTCGTTATGGTGAGATGGCCGAGCGGTCTAAGGCGCCAGACTAAGGTAAGCTTGATCACCTTATCATTATCTGGTCTCTTCGGGGGCGGGAGTTCGAATCTCCCTCTCATCATCGTCTGGAGACATGTTTTTGCCTTAGTTCCTCCCAAGTTGCTGATCACGGAGACGGTGGAGACGATGATGTGCCGCGATGGGCTGTGATGGGTCATTCAATTTGGCAGCTCCAGGGTAGTCGTAGCCGATGTAAAGCATGATCATGGCAAAGATCTCAAAGCGACAGGCTAGCATTCTAGAAATGTTCATCAAGTATGGTGTATAGGCGTATAGCTACTTTGGATTCGAGTTTTCTTTCCTACTCGTCGGCCTGCGACCTTTGTAAAAGAGCGAGTGCTGCTGGAGAACGAGCCTTGATTGAACATTGGAATGGAGCGGGCTGACTGAATAAGCGTGTCAGTGTATTCACAGTACAGACATTTTGAACATGTTATACCTCACAGATCCGCTCAGTTGTATGAATGCTGGCTCTATGACGTTCCCGTCCTTATTGACGCTTTTGGAAATCTGAAGGACAGCTAGTGACATGGCCACTAGAATGAAAAGCGATTCGTCGGCAAGTACACGGCCTATAAAATACGATCTGGATCGTTTGAAGGCCCTTTGATTGTTTTTACACACCTGGACAGATACTTGGTAACAACGATAAATTCAGCTATGACAAAGGACATTCAAAATAATGTCACATACCGCCTCCCAAATCCAAAGACAGTGTCATATATATCACGTTCAGCGACGTGACCTTCGCTTGAGATGAACCGAGAAGGATTGAAAGTATATGGATCGGCATATGTATCTGGGCCATGCAGCATGTTCCTATAAAACTATCAACCACCTGAGTTGAGTAACAAACAGACAATTACCATATATTCGCCACCACAATTGAGCCCTTGGGAATTAAATAACCTTCGTGAATATCGTCTTCCATGACGACGTGAGGAAGGCCTAAAGCCCAGTGGATGTGATGAGATGGTTTCCATTTGGTGGAAGTTACAGAAACGGACCATTAGGAACCACAGTGTGCAAACGAAGAACCTCTTGACAGATAGCATCAATGTAAGGAAGATTGACACGATCGTCATGGGTTGGGAACCTATCAGTGCCTACTACTGCATCAATCTCGGCACACGCCTGGATTTGTACTTCGGGGTACAATGACATAAACAGGAAGAAAGCTTTAATCATTGAGATTCCCTAAAATCTTGAGGTGAGTGGATGACTCAAATACAGCCCAAGAACGTACTGTTGAGAACTTCCCAGCAGCTATGGTGCTCGCATTCCATTTCAGGTCATCGGATACACTGGCAGAGTCAATGCCAGGTTCCGAGAAGGTTGATAAGAAAGAGTGGTGTTCCGTGCCGGTAGCCTATGCATGTATGAGTAACAGAGTTCAGGATGCGAGTCATTGACACACCACCCGAGGCATCATGTACTCGTATGGCTTCGTCACCATATCATTCAGATCTCTACCCCACACTCGCGCTTGAGAGTGAAATCCACCTCCAGGAAGCCATGAAGGCAGGTACCGAACTGGAATTAGATGGCTACATGTCAGTTGATAGGCACACTTGGCTGTTTTCTACTTACGCAGCGGAAAGACATCAACGAGGAATGCACCTGGGGCCGTAGCGACTGAGAACTGCTCCATACCACGATCGATAAAATGAATAAACGGATCGTCTTCCTCCTTCGCTTCGTAGCCATACACAATGTCAAGAGCGAATGTGCCAACATGTCTGTGGAGGACCGAGGGAATGTCAAAGAAAAATGCTAGAGTGAGGTGGATGCACAACTCACTGTTTGATATACGCCGTGAGATCTCCAGGACTGTTGCAAACGTTACGCAAGAAGTTCCGTACTCCTATGTTCTCTGTCTCGTGCAACGTTTTGGTTGCTGCAGGAGTGCCAAAAAGCTGATGGAATCTCTTTCTGTGAAGCTGAAATTTGTCCCCGTAACGTAAGAGGGGTATGGCATTTTTCCATCCGATTAACTCTCCGCCCATTGGAAGTACAGGTCTATCGGAGTAAATACGTCCCTTTTCGTTAAGAAGCTTGTGAGCAACCTCGACGGAGTTGATGATGATGATACTTTGCCCAAAAACGGTCACCGAAGATATATCGCCTGGCGAAGGTGAAAACAGTGCGTCATTCTTAGATACGAACTAACCGTATGTTTTTCCCCATTGTGCAAAGGTCTGCCATGTCATTTCTTTGGGCATATCGAAGAGGTTTCCAATTACTGGCCAGCCTTTGGGTCCGGGAGGTAAACAGAATTTCGGCTTCCAGAGGAAGCGCTTTGACATTAGAAGAGAAACAAAGATTAGACAGATCGCGAGAGTGGACATGGTCGTTGAGAGCTACTTGACTGGAGCAGAAAGCAAGGCCTTTATATCGTATTCTTCAGAGATATAAATGCAGTAATGTTTCAGGAGAATTGCGATAGTCCAGAGTAGAGCGAGTTTGGAAGCGCGGGTAGTTTGCATGAGTTTAAAAGCTCGATGAAACTTGAGTCTCGGCTCAAGTCTGGGACGATTAGATGGTCGATGGTGGGGAAAGCGTATATACCGGCAATTGAGGTCTTTAGACAATTGTCAATGGAGGACATGTTGTAGATGCTTGAGGTGGAGGCCGGTTTCCACGGAAGATGAAGTCCGGAACCTATTATGAACGGATTTCTTGCTAAAGGCGCGCAATTCAACTAGAGAATGATGATTAGAACGACGTTAAGCCGAGCAGTATGTTTCCTCCTACGTCGACCTTTCAATTGTTAACCTTTGATATAAAGAAGAAATGGAGCTGGAATATCAGAATCAGTACATCTTACTATAGATCCATGATATGGTCCATCCATAAAGATGACTTCAAAATATATCATTTACGATGGCCAGTTAGGCACTGGTTGAATTTTGTGAATGTTCCCGGCCCAGCATCGCACGAGAGGATTGAACCTACCAAAAGAGTTGGTCACCAAACAGATTAAAACGTTCTTTGAGTACACGAATCATGACAATGATTGATTGTCCACTGAAGTCCGCGCTGTACATAATCGAAATTGGAGGTGTGATGCCGATCCAGGAACTCCTGCGTAGTAGTTCCTGAAGTCACGGAAAGACGGAAGAGTACCTCGGCTCAAAAATATCGTTGCGAACCCTGCGTGACTGTTTCGTAGATCTCTGTCAATTACTTGGAAGAAAGATCTTTGTTACAAGGAGAGTCTCTGCGGTCTCTCCTGTGCTCAGTCTTCCTCCCAGGCACTTGACCGTCTCCTCGGGCTATCGCATTGGTCTTGATACACACAAATGTTTGATTTCGATACCTTCATCCTCCTGTGCACGTGATGCCAAGACGGAAAGATGGGGATATTCTCGTCAGGGTAAGCTGGGCAGATAAGCATTAGAAGCCAAAAAAGCGTACTATCAACCCGTTCTTGCAGATTGAATACAGAACACAGTGGAACATTCGGTCTTCATTACTGAGTAACCGCCAGGTCATCGAACGTTCAGGTAGACCGGTGGAAACAACGAAATATCACTTGTGTTTCAAACCTGAGGATCGACGTAAGACGAAACGCGTTGAACAAGGAAATCTAGCACGGAGAGAGAGGGGCTGCCATCCGAACCCGGGTTTCGCATATCATCATATGTATTATCACGGTCTAAGCCATGAGGGTGAAAGAGAGCATTGTGAAAGATACCACATATGAAGGAACAAACTGGAGACGCACGCGGAACTAGTTGATGAAGAGTATATGTCAAGCATTCACGTATCTGCAGTACATAGGTGCGAGAATGAGGTCCATCGATCTATTGTCAATCTGTATATTGTGCCTGAGTAATGACGTGTGAGTAGGTCGCCGTCCAGTAAAGCAGGAAAAGAGTTAGCCCGGAGGGATCTTGACTCTACATATTTGGCTGCGCCGAGTTGGTTCTGTACTTCGTTACAGGATGGTTGAAACAAGCTTCTTCTCTGCGCAGCCTGGATGAGTAATGTGTTTAGTCTGTGTTCAAGGGGGCAAGGATTGCCGAGGTACGAACTTAAAACAAAGACATTCTCTTGGTTTCCTCTTCTGCTCTGGGAGAGTTCCTCGAATGCATGTGGAACTCGATGCTTATACTCCACAGCAATGGCGAACTCAGGTGTTTCACAACTAGATGACCCAAGCAGTGAAGTTATCTTCATTTGCAAGGGTAGACTAGAGTCGCATGGAAGGAGCACGATTTAGAGATATAGAAGCCAATCATGAGGTGACGTCGCAGATAAGCATAGCGAATGGTTTGCACAAGGTAGTAATTGATCGAATATTTATCAGGAGGCGTATTCATTCCAGAAAATCATCCACAATCGAAAATAGAAGACATCGAGGCACAACTTGCGAGAGTTACAAGAACTTCAATGGTCTGACAAAAAAACATCAGACTTTCCGAGGAAGTAGAATACTTCGACTATGATACACTTATAAGCACGACGAGAGTGCACAGACAGCCTTAATAGAATCGATCCGGCGCTGATTGTACAACGGAATAAGACAGAGTGATCTCCAACGTTTCGAAGAACAAGTCGAGGCTCGCGTGCCGCACTCTACCGGAGCGATTCCCACATTTTGGAAGTTGGCGAGAAAAGAAATTCGTGACCCGGGTCACAGGTCACTGCCACGATGGAGATAAGTTGAGGACGACCAGATTCTGCCTTTCGGCCAGGAGTCAGGACTACTTAGGTCGACATCTCTCAGATAGCAGTCGTTGCCAGAGCCAATGCGCTCCTTCCACTTACATGTCATATACCTACCGCCCACTGCCCCTCTTATGTTCGAAGTTCCTTTCGACACAAGTGTGGATACTGCCTCTATGTGGTCCGCTCGCCTTCTTCCGTGTATGAATGGTATCAGAGTCCCACTGTGACTCAGAACAGCTATCACCAGACTACAAAATCCTGGAATTACAAGAGCAGAGGTATTTCAATTCTAAATATTCAATAACTAAATTACAGATATATAGGGTCTGAGCATATTCATACATTTTCATACTCCCATATTGTATTCGAACGGAAACGCAGTCTCAA